TATATATATATATTTTTTTTTTTTATTTATTTTTTTTTTTTATTTATTTGTTTATTTTTTTTTTGTGGGACACAAATTGATTACAGGCTGCAGTTTATATGTTTTTATGATGTATACTAACCACTTATGAATCCTGGAGACGATGAAGTGATTGAAGTATGAGCAGAGTGAGTCAAATTTAATTGAAACAATTGAAAATCATTAAAGATGTGGATGACAAGCAACTATGAGCAATGAAATCAATGATTGGAAGTACTTACACGCGTCACTCTCTGAACAGACGGATACTGAAAAAGAATTGTACAACATAGAGAATAGTTTAGTGTTCATTTTGTGTGAGAGCCCACTCCCTGAAATCTGAACTCCACATATAATACTTGCAAACTATGAATTTATGCTCCAAATAGTGTCTAATCGATGGCATCATCCATTCTTGTTCATATGAATATCGTATTTTAAATAACATAATGCAGTAGATTTGTACATATGCAAAAAGTTTATTTTTTGTTTGTTTTGGGTGAACGCGATTTCATTTTATTGTATCACAAATATTTTGAAACTATAAATGATTTAGATGATGGGCAAAACATCACAGACGGATTGCCTGTCTATCTCATCAACAATTAAAGAAACTATTAGTTATGTTAGTCAACTCGAATATTTTACAAAATTCCGGTATATAATATAAACATATCATGTACATACGTATCTGGTTAGATATTACAACTTGCATTACAAATAACAAAACAATTTTAGCGGAACGATTAGTGTAATAAGTTGTAGCCACATAAACCATGCTATTGATTTCGTAAATTCATCACTTTTAGACATGGTACGAAAAGTGACGGTATTTGGTGCCGCCGGGCAAGTTTCCAGTTGTGGTCGACGAGTAGCTGTAGCCACCGGGTCCAGCGCCAGTTGTGCTGGTCCGCTCGGTGCTATAATTGTAGGCACCACCGGGCCCGCTACGCGATGTTCTCTCGACAGTGGAGGAGTACGTGGAACGCTCCGGCCTGGCGTACGGGTTGCTTGAGTCATAGCTGCTTTTCTCAACACTCGACTTTGAGGTGTACGAATAGTCCGAGGAGGCGCGGCTGCGATGCGAGCCAGGCCTGTCCGTGCACAGGTCTAAGCGTGGAGTCTACAAATTCCGATTTATGCATTTAGGTGAAAATTGTAAATTGTGAAAATTGGCAATCAGCATAAAACAGTTATGCGACTAAAATCTAACTTGCTGTTTCATAACGACTATTCTCTTAAATGAACGGCATTTTTAATTAAGGCTGGTCCGCCAAAAAGCAACGCAATATTGCAATGAAAAAGACTTTCGGAAAAGGAAATCACTTCAGATTTGTTCAAATTATTATTTAGCAGACCAGCCTCAAAAAAAATATAAATAAAATATGAGTGTATGAAAATAGGACAGAATCTGAGCAACTGAATACTATTAAAAGTTCTTTCATAAATATAGATTAGTCAATCTTGTCATATCAAAGGAAATTGAAACAGGTTCGTATCTTATCATACTTTGATTCTATTGAATTTAACGTAATAATAAAAACAAAACATAGAAACTCGCGTGGCAAATATTATGAAAGATGTATTATTGGCAATATTAGATACAAAACGAACAGAGTGTCAGATCTTTTGTATGGTTGTATGTGAACTGTAGTATATATATATTTGATTTTACATTTGCGGGTATGTATACATGGTCATGTGCGTGATGTGCCCTAATTATAATAGTAGAGACTGTTTAGTCAATTCGTGCAATTCGATTTCGGTTTGAACAATTTTCGCTGAAAAGACTTCTTTCGCTATCGGTTAATTAATAAGAGTACTTTGTGACCATCGCACCCGACTTTTCATTGCGATAGGTCTCTCGGCGCACCGGTAGACCTTCGGAAACAGCTCGATGCAGGCGCGGAAGTTGACTATCGATGGAATCACGAGAGGTGCGAGCTGCTGTGTTGCCACCGGCTTCCACAGTGTCGATGTGCTGCCGCACCATGCTCAGGATACGCGAGCGATTCTTATCGCGTGTCGGCACATACGGCTCAATGGGCTGATAGACAATCTTATAGTTAGGTTTTATGGCAGCCCTGTTTATTGGATCGAGTATTGATCGCTTGCGCTGCTCATAGTCCGACCGACGCATTCCAAAAGCAGTCACCGGATCAGAGATGAGTGAAGGCCGTGGCACGAAAGGAACTTTCTCCCAGTCAATTGGTGGTCTGTTTGTTTTCTGCAATGCCCAGAATGTCACACAGGTGGGTTTAAATTTCGAAAGCCAAGTTTACGTTATTAGCGTGTGCAGTGCAGAATTTTTGTGCGACGTGGTTGCGCAGCTGGGACACCACAATCATCGGCGACACTCGCGATCCATGTTCCATGCAAGCATTTATCCATTAAATCGACATGCAGGTGTACGTACACATGTGAACATGTGTCAGGTGGGTGTGAAAGTATAGATATTTATCAAGGCTCGGCTAATGTACAAGCATAGGTGGTCCATGGACGGTTAATAAAATTAATTGTAGTTCCAGTTCTATGATCTATTTACATTGGGTTTATTTGCATTTGGGGAATTCACAAAAAAAATTTTCCCACAAAACTTAGTTTGCAGGGTGTCTGATAATGGAATATATACATGAAATTGTTGTTATATATGTTTTATTTTTGTTAACAAATGTAATATGAAAACTTTAATAATAAATATTTTATACAGCATCAGTTCAGTTATATTTGTGTTTGCAGTGTTTCGTCTTAGCTAGATTAAATTTTAAAGAATTCATATTTTACTCTCTGTTTATCTGTTTATCTTAACGCCTATATAGTCTCTCTGCCCATTTTGCCGTCATTGGTTTAAATGTATTTTGGAAATAAAAAAATATATTTTTAGATCAGCCCGAAACTGAAATGCGCAAACAGCTTATATTACACAGAAGTTTGTGTATATAAAAATGTGTGTACTTTCGTTTGTACATAAGGAAAGATGCATAAATTTGAAGGATAATCAAACTATGAATATAAAACAAATCAGACAAAACATGAACAGTTGTGAAATATATCGCCGTATACACAGGCGCAAAGAGAATATTTGTTGTTTGTATATATTTTTTTTAAAACTTAACAGCTGGGAATTAAGTCAGTAATCCACTTTCAAATATGTATATATCTCTACATACAATAATTGTCGTTCAAGATGTACATACAGAATTATGTGAATTTAAACATGTGTGTATATACACACTGAGCTAAATTTGGAATTTGAGAGCAGAAGAGCTTTTTTTATTTGCATGATCGCCAATGATTTTGGCCGAGTCTATGACAAATCGCAAAATATGTAGATATTATAACGATACAGAAAATAGACACAACCTTGAAATATTCTCAATAAATTCAATCCAAGGTGATGTAAAAATAAGAGCATTTGCTTTACTTAATTTGTTCGTTTGTTTTTCTAATAACATCTTTTATTTATTTTACCATTTAACAATTTGATCATATTCAATGAGAGGTCAGTTTATTGTCCATGTCTATGTTAATTAATTAGCCAAAGTCTTCGGATAGTGCAGCTTGTTAAGGGCTGTATACGTAATTGGTGCTTAAACTGGTAAGTTATATATTTTTATTATTATTATTATTATTATTTTAAATATCCATAGGACGACACATATAGTCTGTATGTATATATTGCATACGAAAAGAAATGAATATTTATTTACTTATATAAGCTTTAGGCATGCACTCTTCTCTTATATACACTTTGACTTTTTAATCCTGATACGATATTCATATGTAAGACATTTATTAAGACTAGATTGTAAGTTACTTTTGTGCTCAAACGTGTTTCAATTTCTTTACTAGTTTCACTTTTTTAATAAAATTGCAGAACTCAGCAAGTGGGAGGTAAGCCGTAATAGTTCAATGTAAACTTTGAGGAGGAGTTTGGTTTAAGAGCTTGTAATGAAACTCATTTCATAAAATGTTAAATTTATCTGTTCTATTGGAAGTCCCAAGAAATAAAATATTATTGTCCGCACAGATGAATTTGACAAATTTTATGAATTGAGAACCTCACTACAGACAAACTTTTTCCCAGATTACGAGATAACCTATTCGCGTGACTAGCATATTTGAAACTTACCGTTACAGCGTACGACGTTGTCACCGGTCTGGAGCTGTAAGTTCTACGGGTTGTAAATCCACTTTCGTAAACCATTTTTAATAATTTAATTTTCAAATAAAATGTAAAAATTAGAAAGAATCACTTATTCGTTTTTATTTCGATTCAAGTTCTCGTCTTTTCGTGTTCTTAACTTGATGCCCGTTCGAGTTGTTCTGCTAGACAACTAGATGGAATGGTTTCTTATAATTTTTCTTTTACAAATATGTATCTGAATAGCTCTCGCTCATTCTTGCTCTCTTTCGTTGACTTTTATACATTTATTTTTGGAATAACAAAAATTTCAATCTCTCATGTCACTGAAGAGCGTACGTTTTTTTTTAGCATATGTAAAGATCTAATATTTTTCGTTTTGCACACGCACACATATTAAAAAGATCGTACATAAATATACAAACATATAAATGTTTAAGGTGTATATACATTTATACATACTAAGTATAAGCGTGAGTAAGAATATACTACATACGATTGGAAATGAAATGTGGAAAAATTGGAATACAGTAATGCGTATCGCGGTATGTAAATCAGGCGAATCAAAGGCGAATAAACACATTAATTTGTTATTATTAATTTGATATGAGAATAACCTTGCGATTTATATTCACGGCATTTACAACCGCAAATAGTATTCTCTGTATTCATATGTACATTTCAAAATCAATATACTTTTTCTAAAGTTATACTTTCATTATTGAACTCAATTTTCGGTAAATGAGGTGAAAACGTGGTAACATCTAGTCGAGTACATTCCATTCCTTTACATAGTAAGTGTATTCACATCGAATGACAAAAAAATACATTCAGTCAAGACTCTTAGATGTATTATAGATTTCATACTCCATTTGTATGTACATATG